TGTGTGTGTGTGTGTGTGTGTGTGTGTGTGTGTGTGTGTGTGTGTGTGTTTGGTGGGTGGGGACTTTGTACCTTTGTCCACACAGACAAAGAACATCAGATCTCTGAAAACACCAACCATGCAGCTGAGAGTCTTCGTTACCTTCATCATCTGCCTTCAGAGCTGCTGGTCAGCTTCAGGTGAGGAGGGGTCTGAACTTCAGATTTATCAGAAAACAGCCRAAGAGTTCAACCGGTTAGCATCTAAATGTTAACAGAGAAGGTCAGAACTTTTGGTTTGTGTTTCCTCTTGGCGTCGCTGTTTGAGTTCAACAGACAAAGACTTATGAGGAAAAAAACTAAAACTAACTTTTGTTTCTCGTCAAATTAACTTTTTAATATTTTTTTAAAATAAAATTTCTCTTTTTAGATTTTTGTAATATTTTGAACTGAAACAGAAATGAGATAAACATGTTTTCAAAATAAAACAAACATTTTAACACGATTCTGTGGAACACTTTGCTCCACTGGTGTCTGYCAGTCTTTCTGGACCCACAGAGGGCCCATGGGGTCCTGGTCCGGACCCGCAGATACAACTCGGGCTGGTTTGAGGAAATGAAGATGGGAGATTTGGAGAGGGAGTGTTTGGAGGAGAAATGCAGCTTCGAGGAGGCCAGAGAGGTGTTTGAGCACGCTGAAACCACGGTGGGTCACAAAGGTTTCACCAGGTCAAAGCGGATCTYTGCCACAATAAAACCTCAAACATTTCAAGATGTTTATGTTTCCTTTTTCTCAGAACGAGTTCTGGAAAGTGTATTCCAGTAAGTGACCTTTTTCATTTTAATTATTACATTTAGTTCTCTACCTGAAARAGATAAAAACTCCCGACAGGTTCAGAGACTTACAGTCTCTGAGAGTCCTGACCCTGAGAGATGGTGGAGCTGACAGATCTGAGGGCATCACTTCATTCTGTTGATTTATTAGTCTGTTTAAATTCCAAACCTCATCTACGATCATGAGGTTTGGACCAGGACTAAAAGAACCAGATCCCTCTGTAAGGTGGCCTCACTAACTGTGTCTTTGTCTCTAAAGTCCCAGACAGCTGTAAGTCCGGACCCTGCCAGAACGGAGGTACCTGCATCAACGAGGGGTCGTCCTACACCTGTCTGTGTSTCCCTCAGTTCACAGGACTCAGCTGTGAGCTCGGTGAGCGTGAATGTTTTTAAAATGATTTAATTAAATTTGTTTCTTGAATCTACCAGGCAGGTCTGAAAGACGTGGTGATAASATGTGGAACGATGTTTAATTAAATGTCTAATTATCAATAATAAACTGGAGAATGGTTTGTTTTTAGAGCACCAGACAGAGTCAGACAGCTGTCTGCTGCAGAACGGAGACTGTGAACATTTCTGCGAGGAAGACTCCGATGGAAAAAGAATAGCTTGCTCTTGTGCTGAAGGCTACGTGTTGGACGCCGACGGTCGGAGCTGCAACACCAAAGGTTATTAAACAAATGAGAGCATTTGCAGTCCTGGTAAAACCTCCTTTTAGGTCCAGGGTTTCGGTGTGTAATAAAACTGATCCAGTCTTTATCAGATTCTAAAATGATCCAATGATCCTCCACAGGGACGTGCACAGATAGACGTCAGGTGGTGCTCGAGCACCTGCCCTTTTCCCTCCAGACCATCAAGTGCCCCTGTCAAACCCACCTTTTTTTTGTTATGCCCCATCTGTCGCCCTTGGTTGCACTTCTTATTAAGTGTACAACTACAATGGAAACAGTATTAATATTATTAATAATAATATTGCCCTCACACCCTCCCTTCACCACATACACGTGCCGTGCGCGCCCGCAGCTCCTGTGCGTGCTTGCGTTGTCCCTCTGTGAACGCGCTACRYGCTCGGACAKGAGAGCTGCTGAAGCAGCTCCTCTCTCTTCTCTCATCCACACTGCAGAGGACAGTTATAATCAGCAGGTAATTTACCTACAGGCCCAGGCAAACTGTGTGGGACTGTCTCACATGTTTCACTCTTGTCCTGGTGTCGCGCAAGTTCAAACAAAGTCCCGCATTTGACTGATCAAATTATAACAAGACATAAAAAGAAGACAAAAACAAAGGGAAACAATCGACAGACGTTTTTATTGGCTGCAATTTTCAACCATTCGAAAATGCCTCCTTATTTCTCTCTGCCTTCTGTGCAGAAGGAGGAGGAGAGAAGAGAAAAGGCAAAGACAGCAGCTGCCAATCAAACGCGCAGCAGCGTCTTCTGCGTGTTAAAAATAAATATCTAAACACGTGAAAGAAAATAGGTTTTATTTATGCAGAATGTGATGGAAAATATGTTAAAAATGCAGCAAAATAATAACTGGAAAATAGGTGATGAAAGTGAAAGATGATTCTCAGAGAGAAAACTGTCAAACTTTTATTTTTCCTGAAGGAAAACACAGCGTGAAGCAACTGTCTGTGAGAG